GAATAAGACAAACAAAGGCAAAAACCACCAGAGATAAAATGGCTTCTCATGTTTTCAGTGGGATCGCCAAGACAGTCACTGTCTTCTGTTTGCTTTTTGAGCAGTCTGTCTGGAATCGATGGGCACTTAGAGTACAGGGATGTACTTCAGGCTGAGATTGCCAGTGCAGCTGAAAACAGAGTGAAAATTGTTTGAACAGATGAAAGAACAAAATCCCTTTCTGGCTCTGCCTATGCATCCATGGCCATCTGCTACATTAAGGACTAGTCATCAGATCTTTTGGATTTAGTAAAGTACTGACAGTCTCCACCTGGCATCTTAGCTGTTATCTTAAAAGAGGGACCATCTTAGCTGTTATCTTAAAAGAGGGACCAATCCTCAGATTTACTGTAATTACCAACTTAATTAGATACTATTTCTTGCTATTTCAATTACTTATAGTATAGATATTTTAAAATGCCTCCAGTCATTTTTTGCAGAGCTGAATTAAAACTTTTAATCAGTCTTACTAAAGAGCTGCTCTAAACATCATTAATCATTCTTGTATTTGTTAGTGATATACTTCTTCTAAATCGAAACTGTTGAAGAAGTGCTGACAGCAAGTGCCAGCATCTTTACATTAGATAGATTACTATACATGTAAAATATCCATACTAACAATACTTTCCTACTTCATAGCATAAGATGGCCTACTAAATGAAGATGAAACTTCAGATGGAGCTGAGTTGATTCATAACACTGTAGAATTTCCTATTCCTTGTCAATACTTGGTACAAACTCAAGACAGGATACAGAAAAGGTAGATCACTGAGATGATCCTTACAGTTTCTATATAGGATCCTTATCTCGCAAGTACTTGTGAATTTTCTTGCCGATATCTTCATATTAGTAAAAGTACCTTCAACAATTAAATGTAAATATTTTTTTAGAAGTCAGACTCAATCAGAAGTTTGGTGAACACTGTTAATCTTTGTGATGATTTCAAGTTGCGTTATTGTAGAACACTGTAGACTTAACTTGCAAATGTTTTAGGGAATTAGGGAAATGCAAGGAGTGTTTAGAACAACACAGCATGTTGTAAGAAAACATTACAATAAAATTCATATAAAGTAATAATATAAAACTATTCTTTAGGTTATTATGATAGTTGTAGTTTTTATGGGCGGATGTGGTTTTTATTTTGTAATATGTTCACTCTGATCAAAACACTAATGCAATATAAGATCAGTTTGCTCACACATGATCCAGGAAAAGTAATGTTTATGTATGCCATTTTCACATATCATGGAAAAACTGAATTTGTTGTAAAAGTGCGTTGTAGTACATACCAATCCGTGCGTTGAATCTTTCCAAGCTTAGAATCCTCTGACTAATCATGAATAGGAAGCTTTGCCAGACAAGTCCTTCAATTTCTGCATGATGCAAGTCATCCTCTTTTTTTGTAACTTGAAGCAAATTATCCTTCTGTTATCTACAGTTGCAAAAGTAAGTCTCCAAAATCTTGAAACTAATGTAGATAGAGAACTCCACTATTTCATCAGTCTTTTATTTTACAAGGTTTCTGTAGAAAAAAAACTAACCAAATCTCTGTAAGTTTTTATTGCTGCTGCTGCTCTGAGTCTTTTTCATATTCAGAGTGGGAAACTGAGTTTTAGGAAACTGAACAACAAAAATGAGCAATTTCTCCCGATACATTTGAAACAAAAACGATATTGTCTTAGTTATAGGATTTTTTTTCTCCTTATTGACAACAAAACAAGTTGAGGTTGCACCATAATTGTTAGAGTGTTCTAAGATTTCCTGTCTTCTGGTGATTTCAGGTAATTGTATGGATTTTGAGGAAATTATTCTGAAAATCTTTATTCTCCCACACAAAGCTCAGTATGTGAATGCTTCTCTGCACTTGTCTTAAATACGTTCCATCTTCTAACTCACTCATTGATCCTGACCCTCTGAGCCTGGGACAGGGAAAGGATTGTATCTGGAAGGATGCAAGTTATCTCCTGAGGTGGCTAAGAAAATTATCTACATAAAAGTGGTTGTGAATCTCCTATGATGTATGTGTGTGTGCTTCATAGGCACACATTGCTCCTTGTAGATTCAAATTATTAGCACCAAATCATCAAATTACATTATAGTATGTAAAATCAGATTGCAGTATTAACACTAGCATTATCACCTGTTGATGAACTGGCTATATCCAAATGTTAGCAAGTCAGTGAGCATATTACTTGCACTTTTGTGATAAAGGTGTGCAGGGCTGTCAGTAAAGGGAAGCTGTTCCTGGTTGTTCTGTAACATGATTTGATGTCAACTCAATGTCATGTCTTCATCTTCTTGAGAGCTAGAAGTTAAATAAGTAAACTTTTCATTTGTCATTAATTTTATAAAGCATAGTAGGAGCTGGGTATAGTTTTATAGTGGTTTCAGATGTTGGAATTTGAGAATAATGTTATCAGTTACCAGTTAATATCAAAATCTGGTGTTAGATGGTGTTCATGGTTAGAAGTATTACTGTCACCATTTCAAGGACACATAGGTGAGATTCTTCCATCGGAAGTGTAATGGGGCACTTTTAAAAACTGGGACAGGTAGCAAACAGTATTCTTCCTTAGGGCAGAAAGCACATTAGATGGATAAAGCTGTTCTTTCAGACTAAGTCATGTAATATTTATGTGTTTGAAACTAAATGTAGTTGAGTTAATGCCGTGTGCCAACAGGAACTTAGTTGGCTTAGGTGTCATTTTTTTCCAGTATAATTTACTTTGCAAATGATTAATAGTTGTATCTATGTGTGAAGCTGAACTACCAGATAACATCAAATCACTGAGTATTAAACAGTAAGGCAATATCTAGATTTGTAAAAAACATGAATGTTGTAGATTTATGTAAAGAAGGCGAATAAAACATAGATGTGGTCAGAGGCCACAGGACTCTTCTCAGGATGGAAATCTGTAAGCTGTTATTTCCTTTGCTGCATAACAAACATTAATATTTAATAACTGCACCATGGATATTAAAGTTCTCAGTTATTATATAATACTGTTTCTACCTTTCCTAAAGCATTTAATGCCTCATTAAACCCATTCACATCATATTAATTAAAGTGATTCTCTAGCTGTTCTGCCTCTCACTGACAGCTGGCATTTCAGAAGTCCGTTTTTATTTTACTCGTATTAGTGGTTGAGACTTAACTTTTGAAACTTCTATTTTTTTTACAGAAATCATCAATGTGTCAGTGAGTGTAATCTTTTCCAAAACTACTTTTTACCTACAAAACAGGAAGGCTCAGGGTAGAGTATTGGCTCTGTGAATACTACAAAGTTCTGTAGTGAATATCCTTTCTCCTCTGATATTTATGCAGCTGATAAAAAAATTGTCTTTTTAATTGCAGTGTTCATAAATGTTCTCAGAATCCATCTTTTGTGTGATACATTCCACAAAGGGTATTCTAAAAACGGTGCTAAAAAGCAAGAATAGTTAAATCTGTATTTTTAATGATGCAATATATTATGGTACCATCTGATGCTAGGTACATAATATTCTGTGTTGTGCTTTACTGATTAAGGGCTGACCCTGCAGATATTTAGATATTTTACACACATAAATAATTTTGTGGCATTTGATTTTCCTGCTTAAATGGGTAAAGCTAAGCTATGATCTAAGTCCTGTGCTGTTAGTGTTTTCAAATACATTCCTTTCAGAAGAGTGATCCCTGCTTACCAGCCACCTTCTCCCCAGGTCTTTCATTTGCCTTTAGAGTACTTCACCATATAATATGTGGAAAAATAATAACTATATAATATGTACAATTACTTGCATGTTTCAGGACCTAATTATGTGTGATCACAGTGGATTATTCATAAACTATAACCAACAGACAGGAAGCATTTTTCATGCAATATCTAAATATCTCAATTTTCTTTTTAGCCAACCAATGGGATCTTCATGAGTGCATTTCTCATCGTTTTACCTCTGGAGTCCATGGCTCATGGGCTCTTCCATGAGCTGGGAAACTGCTTGGGAGGAACATGTGTTGGGTATGCTGTTGTGATTCCCACCAACTTTTGCAGGTATTGTTACCATGTATTTTAAGTTCACAGTAGCATAACTGTACTGTTAGCTCATAGAGGCAATCCAGTGCTGTTGCTAATGATTTTCAATAATTAAATACTAATTTAAATAATAGGCAGAATTTGTATTTTTCCTTTTCCTCACATTCCAAAAAGAATAAGTAACTCCATCTCCACCTTTTTATATGTATTTAATTTGCTTTTTGAAAGCCAGTGAATGCACACAAGTCTGTGGGACCGAATGGGTTACACCCAAGGGTGCTGAAAGAGATGGCAGATCTGCTCGCCAAGCTGCTGTCCATGATTTACCTGAAGTCATGGCTAACTGGGGAGGCCCCATTGGACTGGAGGGTGGCAAATATGACACCCATCTACAAGAGAGGCAGAAAAGAGGATACAGGAAACTATAGACCTCTCAGTCTGACCTCGGTGCCAGGGAAGGTCATGGAGCAGGTCATCTTGAGTGCCATTACAAGTCATATGAGGGACAACCAGATGCTCAGGCCCAGTCAGCATGGGTTTATGAAAGGCAGGTCCTGCCTGACAAACCTGATTTTTTATGACAAGGTGACCTGCTTATTGGATGAGGGAAAGGCTGTGGATGTTTTCTACCTCGACTTTAGTAAGGCCTTTGACACTGTTTCCCACAGCATTCTCCTGGTGAAACTGACTGCTTGTGGCTTGGATGGACACACACTTTGCTGGGTAAAACACTGTCTGGATGGCCGGGCCCAGAGAGTTGTGGTGAACAGAGTTAAATCCGGTTGGTGGCTGGTCATGAGTGGTGTCCCCCAGGGCTCGGTTTTGGGGCCACTCCTGTTTAACATCTTTATTGATGATCTAGACGAGGGGATCAAGTGCACCCTCAGTCAGTTTGCAGCTGACACCCAGTTGGGTGGGAGTGTTGATCTGCTCGAGGGTAGGGAGGCTCTGCAGAGAGACCTGGACAGGCTGGAGCCATGGGCTGAGGCCAACTGGAGGAGTTTCAATCAGGCCTAATGCCGGGGGCTGCCCTTGGGCCACAACAGCCCCCAGAAGCGCTACAGGCTTGGGGAGGAGTGGCTGGAGAGCTGCCAGTCAGAGAGGGACCTGGGGGTGCTGATTGACAGCCGGCTGAACAGGAGCCAGCAGTGTGCCCAGGGGGCCAAGAAGGCCAATGGCATCCTGGCTTGTGTCAGCAATAGCGTGGCCAGCAGGGACAGGGAAGGGATCTGACCCCTGGACTCGGCACTGGTGAGGCCGCCCCTCGATTCCTGTGTTCAGTTTTGGGCCCCTCACTACAAAAAGGACATTGAATGACTCGAGTGTGTCTAGAGAAGGGCAACGAAGCTGGTGCAGGTGTCCCGATCCAGTGTCAGGGGAGGTTTTAATATGATCCCAAGAGTGAAAATAAGACACAAACGAGGTCAAATGCCATATACCCAAAACAGGTTATTATCATTAAAAAGGTGAAGAGGGGTAGCGATAGGACAGAATGGAAGGAAAAGGCAGAAATAAAGCAAGGATGCGGAATAGGGCTGCAAGAATAGTCACCACCATGGATCCAGCGGCATCCCATTGGTCCTCAGTCTTCAAGTCTTCAGTGGTGGATGCACACATATCTGGCTTCGATGATGGATCCACAAAGGGCAAGATTTTCTGCTGCCTTTTTAAGTTCATCATACCCACTGATCAGCATATCTACTTGCCTTTTTTTTTTCTCTAGTCCAACAGGTTTTGTTGCATCCAGCTTCAAGCGCAGAAATGTTTGGCTCTTGTCAGTTCATTAGCAATGGAGGCAGGGGGTCTGGCCTACACAATAGAGCCACAGATGGCTACAGGATGGGGCCAGCTCAGCACACCTCTGCCCCTTTGAGGCTTATCTAAAGAATCCGCAAGGAAGTGGGGGAGTGCATCCTTCAGTACACTCCCGCTTCTCTGGGCAGCATCCCCCAGACCAATTCACAGGCCACAGCAGCTTCTCTTGGAGGTTTGTAGAGACACAAGCAAGCTTTGAGACAGTCATATGACATTTCAGTCCCTCACAGCAGGGTCTGGAGCACAGGTTGTAGGAGGAGCAGCTGAGAGAACTGGGGGTGTTTAGTCAGAGGAGGCTGAGGGGAGACCTCATCGCCCTCTACAGCTACCTGAAAGGAGGTTGCAGAGAGCTGGGGATGAGCCTCTTTAAGCAAGTAATAAGTGATAGGACAAGAAGTAATGGCCTCAAGTTGCACCAGGGAAGGTTTAGACTGGATATTAGGAGGCATTTCTTTACAGAACGGGTTGTTAGGCATTGGAATGGGCTGCCCAGGGAAGTGGTGGAGTCCCCATCCCTGGAGGTGTTTAACAGTTGGGTTGACATAGCGCTGAGGGATATGCTGTAGTTGGGAACTGTCAGGGGTAGGTAAATGGTTGGACTGGATGATCTTCAAGATCTTTTCCCACCTAGATGATTCTGTGATTTACTCACTGGTCATACATATAGGCAGATTCCACAGTCTATCTCATGCAAGTGAGAATTAAGGCATTTGAGTGCAGATATTTTACATGAGGAGATTTAATAAACCAAATAGGTCAGTTCAAAACAATTTTGAATTCTATTAAATGAGATTGTGTCTACATTTAGAGGACATTGAAATTAGATTTGCAAGTGGACTAAATGTCAGTTACTGGTATTGTGAATTTACAGCTGATTTTTGTTCCAATATAAGTGTCACCAGATAAGAAATGCTTGGGGGTGGAGGGATTTTACTATTACTATTTGCCCATTTGTGTGTTTTTCTTACAAGCGTTAAATTTGCAAATACTATTTTAGCCATATAATTAAAAGTGTATACTCTTTTTTTGTAAACAATAAGCAAAAACTATGTAAGTTATCTATTGCAGTTACAAGAGAGACACAGTAGTAATTTGAAATGAGAGGCTTTAAAAAACTGGCCAGCTTGAGTATGTGTAAAGGATTCAGTGGATAGGGAAAAAAATTAATAGGCAAAGAAACATAAGGTAGCATGCTGATCTTAGATTGCTGTAACTTAAACAGTGTAAAATACAGTAAAAACAAAGTTTTTGAGCTTCTGCTCTACAGTCTTCAGCTGTGCACTCTTAAAAAAACCCTACCTAGTCAATTATTGTTAGGCATTAAAAAAAACTTTTCAAAATTTACATTACAATATAAACACATTATTTTTATTTCCATGGCAGCAATTCTTTCATTGTATTATATTGCTCTGGCTCTGGCAGTTCCCCCTAATTTTTGAGTGAATGGGATACTCTTGAGCAACTGTTTCGGACCTGACAGAACTAAACTTCCTTATTAACAAAGCTTACTGTTTCAATAATGGGCCCAGTCTTTGCTTGTGGAGACAAAAAGTAATGATGCTATGTTGACTTGAAAAAAAAGTGTGTATGTATTTTAATTATATTTTAATATTATTTTTAATATATTTTTAATATATATTTTCTATATTATATATAGAAAGAGAGTATATATAGAAATACAATACAATGAATATGCATATATAACAAAAGAGTCCAAGGGACTCTTCTGTTATATATGCATATTCATGTGTGTATATATACATACACACACACACACACATACATATATATACACACGCACAAACATCTATAAATACATGGTTCATTCCCAGTCTAGTTTGTAATTTTCCTAGAACTTTTTTAAGCTGTTAATACTGTTATCTGAAACGCATTTCTTATGCTGAAAGATCAGCATCTCAACAGCACACACAAGTAAGAATTAGTGTATTTGTGTGAGTACCATATTAAATAAAGGCTAGTTTGGAACAGAGAGAAACTAATTCAGAATATCTGAGCAAAATGTGTACTTGGCTTTCTCTTTAATCTAGAATTGAAAACTAATTTACATGATGTTCTGTGTAGATTAGCACTCATTCTTCCTGCCCCTCTTTTCAGTTGTGTGTGAAAAAGTGCCTGTCAGAAGGCAGTACTTTCTGTGGGACTTAATGAAATTGTTGAAGCCTACCTAGCGTGTTCACATCACAGCTCTTCTCTCTCTCCCTCTGTCTCTCAGCTGCAGGAATAGCATGGGGTTGAGTAAGGATTATGCTTTGAAGTGAAGAAGTGTGACAGAAGAGTGGGGGGGAGAGTGGTCCCTCACTCAAATACAGTATTTTGAATTGTTTATAAACTGTAAAGTTCAAGTTAATTTGAATTTAGAACAGCACTAAAATCAGCAATTGCTAATAGTCCACTAAGCAGGAAGTAAGTATAAATCATAATCACAGCTATTTTTCTTCTCTTTAGTCCTGATGGCCAACCAACTCTTCTTCCACCTGAGCATGTACAAGAGTTAAATCTGAGGTCTACCGGCATGCTTAATGCCATCCAAAGGTTTTTTGCTTATCACATGATTGAAACATATGGTTGTGACTACTCTACAAGTGGACTGACCTTTGATACCCTTCACTCCAAGATCAAGTCTTTTCTTGAACTTCGGACAGCAGATGGACCCAGACACGATACCTACATTTTATATTACAGTGGTCACTCACATGGCACTGGTGAATGGGCGCTGGCAGGTAACTAGTTTTCTTATTAATAGTTTTGATATTGATAAACTTTCTGAATCAATTAATTTGTTCTTTAAAGAATCATACTGGATTGCAAAACTGACGTTTTGGTCACATTTATTATCTGATAGTTCAGAATGGCAACCACTACTCTTTGAAGAACAGGTTCATACAAGCTCCTGGCAGGGAAGGAAGGAAAGGTAATCTACAAGCATGGCTGTTAAGAGATTCAGGGGCTACAAGGAATTATCAAAATAGGCAAGGTTGCAGGCTGATTACCTCTGCTAGTGGAGAGAATGGAGAAATGCTGAAGCCCCTTTTGTATGCAGTTAACTTGATATAAAGAAGCAGCTCTTTCCTTACCTTGCTATGTATGTCAAGTATGTTTCTTCATGAACATCTATGTCAATCTAGTATTTAGTCCCTTTGATAAAAATCCTTTTGCAACTAACTAATCTCACACTTGTTCTCAAAATTGCCTAAATATTGTTGACTCTAAATATACGCTTACAAGTCTAAACATGATTTCATATTCCCCTTACAATTCAACAAATTTTCTTCAAAGATCACTTTTTTCCCCAGAAAAGTAAAGTGGAAATGACACCCTCCTGCTCTAAAGACAGATTTCCCTTGTCTTTTGAGGAATTTGTAATGAACAAGCATAATTTCTTCTCATTCCATGGACATGGCAGAGTGAATTATACAGTGTTCTGTGTCACGGTGTCAGTTAGGCTGCCATGAAGGACTGCATTCATGTCCTGAAGATGTGCTCTGTTTTTTTTTTTTTATATAAGATAGAATCAATAAAATAAGTAGGAGGCAGGTGTACAATCCATACTAGAAAAGCAGGTCTTCAAACATATAGCAAACCTTGTATCATGAAAACAGCTATGGTTTGCTGACAGCCTGGAGTTTGGGAGTCACGCAGTGCAGCCTCAAGACTACAAACCCCTATGTAAAGGGCCTGTTTAATGCCTTGCCATATGGTTAGCATAGACTTCACCATTTTCACTTTTCTTGGCCTGTTTTTGATCTCTTTATAATGAGCAGTCCTATCTCAACTGTATTTTTTGATAAACCTACCAAAGTTTTCAAATCATTGGTAGATTTAGCCTTGATCTTCTGCTGGAACTGGGCTTCTGAGGTTGCTGTGTGCAAAAAGTGAATCTTTTAGTAAATGCATTGAAAATTTGCAACTTTTTTTCTTCCTGGGACAAAATTAATTCTCTTGGATAGCACTCTACCTGCAGGCTCCTGGCTGTCATAGTTTCTCTCCAGGGGCATGTGCCTTCAACAGTGTACACAGATTTGTGTTTTGTGTCTGGTCCTGCTGAGGTGTTCAGGCACTGGTCACTTTTTGTCTGGAGGCCGTATGCCTGCTTTGGTGCAACTCCATGCCCAAACTTAGACCTGCTGAAGAGCAACGTGTGTTTTTTTTCTCAGAGGCTTCATCTGTGTCAGCTGTACTCTGACCTTAGCACGAGTGATATACTGCAGTGTATGTCAGGGTAGATGAATGACTTCTCTGACAATAGGGTGGTTTGTCCATAAGAGCAGTTGCCTCTCTGTGCAGTTGTTGAGTCTGTGCACACATTCTCTGAAGCAGGCTAGCAGCAGAACTCTGCCTCCCACCCATGGCTCTGTCTGGCAGCATTGACACAGTTAGCTTTCTAGCACCTACAGACCCAAATGTTGCTCCAAAATTGGGCAGCTTCCGGCCCAGTCCTGGCTTACATCTGGCCAGCCTGGATATAGTGTGACAGGGGAGCTCAGGTCTCTGTATGCCTGTTCAGGTAGTTGTAGCCTAAATTAAACTCCGCCTTCACTTTTTGGATAACCATTAAAATAAATTAAAATAAAACTAAAGTTTCTGTGCTGAAAAATACATCTTTTAAATGCAGTGGTGTTCAGCTTTCTCACAAAGCTCCTTTTCAGTTCTCTGTCCAAGCACACCTTCAGCTTCTACTTGAAGATACATATAGTCACATAAAGGAGAGGAACAGGCACCTGTCATGTCTTGCATCCTTTTTCATTATTAATTTTAGACAAATCATGGAGTGTAATGTCATACTCCTTCCAGATAGCACTGCTCCTGAATGTAACTTGAAGTATAAACTGAAAAGATGAAGGCTGTTTGATTGTGTAATTGTACTGCATGTAATGGACAGTGGCGTTTCATGACAGATGGAACATTTGGTCATCATCTTCTGTAATGTGTACTGTCCTCTGACCTCTGGAGAGGATGAAGAGAGATGGCAACAATGAAATACATTTGTATGTAATAGAAAAAGTAGTGTCTCACTGCCGGCCTATGCCATGATATGGCACAGCAGCAGCAGTGCAGTCTTTGCTTTGTAATGACATCTTTTAAAGGAGGCTTACTGGATTTATTAGTTCATTAATGATGTTCCTCTGTTGTTGGAAGCTGAGATGCAACACAGTGGTGTATAAAAGAAACTGCTAACTAGTCATGCATAAAATATGAGCAGTCAAATGACTTGGAAGGTCATATTCTCTGAGTGAAGGCAAAAGCAAGAGCTGGGCTAATGAAGCTTTGTCTCTGCTGCTGAAACTGTAAGCATAACTGCCTGTGAAACCTGCCAGAGAGCCAGATATGGCCAGACACATCAATTTCTTACACAGCTTAGTGCCTAAATCTTGCACTGGCTGATAAGCCCATGTATTTGAGGTCAGTAGGGTTAGAAGCTGGAGCATGTGTTTGTGGGTGTGTGTATGAAAGATGAGATGGTTTTCTTTGGGTGTTTCTATCCAGTAGTGTTTAGAAATCACCTGCACCCCTGCATAGTTACTGTAAATTAAAGGGGTTTTATAAGCATTTAAAACATAAAGAAATTTTTACTGCTAATTGACTCAAAAGGCTTACCTAGAACAGAGGAACTGCTTCTGTATAAGTCTCTGCTTTAAATAACTACAGCAATTTGGGGATCATGTACCAAGACAAGTCATTACTTGTCTTGCATATTAAGATTTTTCTTGGTAATAAGTTTTCCAGGTTTGCATTTTTTTTGAGGAAGTTGTAGCCCTGAATTTTGCTTTTAACTGCAAAAGCATGCTCAAAGCTTTAACTCTGAGCTATTAATTTGAAGCACACTTTAGTCAGCCCTTACAGGTAGAAATGTAAATGCTGAAATATGTAGCTATTTTGTTTGAGATTCATCTATGCAGTTAAATTCCTACTAACAAGATTATAAACACTGCTAAATGTACTTATATTCCACAATGAAAAATCAGTATGAAATTAAAATGCAGTTATTTTAAATGACATTTTTCTATCTTTCTTCTAAAAGTTGTCTTTTTTAAAGTTGACATTTTCAGACTAGAATGTTTTTGTTGTAAATCTGTATCATAGTTCCAACCTGCCAACACCTAGACGTATCAGTTCTTCACATTAATAGTCACTGTAGAGCCAATGGAAATTTATTCACCAGTTTGCAAGATGTTTTCCATAGGCACTTGAGTAAGTAGTCTGCTTTACAAAGCTACATAGATCCTGCAGTATCTGTTACACTTTGGCAGGAGTCCCCACGATAGGTAACTTGGTTTAATTAGAATCTGCTCTTTCAAAACATTGTTGGAGCAAGAGCTGAGATGGAACATGAGAAGTTGGACACTGTAGTTGTTTTCTGTGCTGATAGGAAGTAAATATTGTGAAAAAATTCATATGAGATTTTTGTTTCATTGAGTTGTAAGTCCATACCAATTTTAATTTTCTTGAAGCTCTGAAGATGACTGTCTATAGAATGAGTATCTCCATTTCTGGTCATGTGAATTTTTAAAGCCAAAGCGATGGTTGTGCCTGTAGGTGGCTTTCTTGTTGTGCTTTGAAACTGTTAGCATGTGTTGTGTTCAAAAGTCCCCTCTTTCCCTTAAAAGAGGAGTTCCTTTTAATATTAATAAAAACATTTTAAGAGAGTCCTTTTTTTTTTTTTTCTTAAAGTTATTAAGATTTAATACAAAATAAACTCTATTTCAGGCTTTTTTTTCTTGTTTAGCTATTTCCAGATTTCTTCAGCAGGCTGTATTTTCTTTCACTCTGTGAGGGAAGTCCTTTTTTTTTTTTTAAATCAGTGGTCTCATCTGCTACAGCAAGTCAGGTGGAATCAGTTAAGACATCTGTGGAGACCTGCAACATCTACAGACAGGGAGGATCAGTTGAAAACTTCTGTTGTATATGTTCAGGTTGTTAAAATAAGGGATTCTTGCAACCCACAGTCAAAATTCTACAGAGGTTTCTGTTTCTTCATCTAATACTAAATCTTTTTTTCCATGTGGCAGGGGGTGATGCTTTACGACTTGACACGCTTTTGGAGTGGTGGAGAGAAAAGAACGGCACTTTTTGTTCTCGACTTATCATTGTTTTAGACTGTGAGAACTCTCAGCCTTGGGTTAAAGAAGTAAGAAAAGTAAATGACCAGTATGTTGCCGTGCAAGGAGCAGAAATGGCCAGAGTTGTAGACATCGAGGAAGCAGACCCTCCACAGCTTGGTGACTTCACCAGGCAATGGGTTGAGTACAACTGTAACCCCGACAGCAACATCAGCTGGTCCGAAAAGGGCCGTACAGTGAAAGCGGCCTATGGTGTGTCAAAACGCTGGAGCGACTACACTTTGCATTTGCCAACGGGAAGTGATGTTGCCAAACACTGGATGATATACTTCCCACGCATCACCTATCCATTAGTACATTTGGCAAACTGGTTTTGTGGTCTCAATCTGTTCTGGGTCTGTAAAGCGTGCTTTAGGTGCTTGAAAAGACTGAAAATGAGTTGGTTTCTTCCCACAGTGCTGGACACAGGACAGGGTTTCAAACTCGTCAAATCCTAATTAGCAACCAAAGAGAAAATGAAGTGAGAGCTCTGGGAACTTTCTCACTCTACCATACTTAGAAATTTTTATATGACTATTTTTCTCTGAAAAAGTCTGCTACACTCACTTTATTGAGCTCTTTGTGCAGCTACAGTATATGCAACAGTTAGAAACCACAATCTTAAACAGAGGAGGGTAGGACTATGATGTTTGAGTTTTGTTACTGGTCTGTATATACATAGGTAAGAGACTTATTTAATATGACTGTGCATTTTGGAGACAGTTCACATGTTTACATGCATTACTTAAAGCAGCCTTTGCTCAGAGTCACCAGTTTGATGGACAACAGCTCCTGTGAATGTTAGAGCATGCTTATTTGTCATTTATATCCACTATAAGGTTCAAATACAGGAGAGTAACCAATCTAATATTCAAATCAGTTCATATGTCCTTGAAATTATATGGTGAGGTCAAGGGTATTATAAAACAGCACAGAGCCAAAAAAATAGAAGAATGAATAGCCATTGTAGGTAAGTAGCTGCCAAGATTATTTGCTTTTACATCTTCAGCCCCTGCCTCAGTTCTCTACTGCTATCAGTGGAAATTTGCCACAGAAAACAAGGAAATCAAACAACCTTCTCATGTTCTGATGCTGCTTGAGAAAATGTTTTCTGAAGTGCAGTTTTTTTAAAAACTTTTCAGTGTTACTTTCAAAATTCAGCATCTTGCTGGTGATCTTTTTTTTTTTTGTAAATATTCCCAGTAGTTAATTCAAATATGGAATAAAAAGTGCACTGATAATTTTTCTGTCACCTGTTAGGGTGATTCTGTCTTTTCTAGCCTCTTACTTGTTTGTATTTTGAAAAGCTACCCTGAAGAAAAAAAAAAAAAAGCAAAACCCAAGGAATTTAACAAAAAAATAATCCATAGATAAAAAATGGAAATATAAGTGTTGCCTTGCTTCCATGTTTATCTGAAGTCTTTGCTGTGCCTAAAACCTTGATTCTGTAAAATGCTGAGTACAGGACTGGACCAATGAGTTCATTATCTATTAAAACCACAAGCAAAGTTTTTCAGAAAAAATGGATTATTCCCTTAGGACAGGAGTGAATCCTGAGTACTCCTCAACTGTTTTCCCAGACACGAGATCCTAATCTTAATCTTTCCATTTACAGAGACTCTAGAAATCCTGTTCTGGCCTTTCCTCTTTAGTCAGAGAAGTTGCATAGCTTTCTGATCTTATTTTCCCAAATACAGAAAATAAGGAGTGAAACAACTAAATGGCTAAGACAGTACAATTTGTGGTGGGTTTTTGCATATGTGTGTGCAATCCAGTAGATTTAGAGTTTACATTTTCCTGTTTCCATTAGTATTTTAATTAAAATTTTAGGCATTAGCTGATATTTGTCTAAAATATAACTTGCTATTTTTTTAAAAATAAATACTTGAAAATACTCTAGGAGCTCTTTAAGTCTTTGCCATCAAGGGTTTTTCTAATTCCATGTGAACTAAATTAGAGAATCTGCTAACATTGATATCTGTTACTAACTCCTGAAAATAAAATGTGTGATTAATTTGAGATCTGCAAGAGCCAGAGTAATTTACACCCACTAACTTCAAAATGGTGATTTTTGTAGGATTTACAAGTGACAGCCACTAAGTTTCTTCTTTAGTGTGTATTACACAACTTTGTTTAGCGAGACACCACCCCCCACCCTGCTTTCTCCATCCCATTCTCAGTTCCATTGGGTCTTCTCTAAGTAAATGCTGTGATTGCAGCTCTGTCACAGATTTGAGAAGTGGCTTTTCTCAGTGAGAACAGAGGCGCCATCTATCTTCAGGTATCCAGCTTAAATCCCTAACATGGGAGCCTGAGGTAGGGGTCAACTCTTTTAAATCAGATGTGAAAGCTAGACTTCTGAATCCATGCTAGTGACCCGAAGTGCTCCACTTCTCATTAACAGAGAAAAATAAATATTTCCAGAGGAAGACTCATTTGATGTCTATTTTAAGATTAATTTTCCTGTGATTGTGCCTATTAGATTTGTTTTGGGTTTGTTTTCGTATGTCAAAGGTGAAGCAGACAAATCCCTTATGTCTGTTCAATAACCTTAGAGCACTTCTAAGTCATCCTCAGGAGCCTGGGCTGAGTACCTAAGCTCCTCGAACAAGCATGTAAGTTGGATACTTGAAGTTAGGCTGAACGAGCATCTGTCAGGTTGCAGAAAAGTAGCACTGCCTCCTCTGCAGAAGTAATTTTCAGCTATTTCTGGTCATCAACCCTTGAGAGAAGAAAGATTGCGTAAAGGCAGTCATTTGGTTTGTAAAATCATCATTAATTTGACTTCTATTTCAGTAAAAGTTCATCTGGTCATATCATAAACTGTTCCAACTTGAGCGCTAGAACTTTTTAAGGAAGTCCCCATAAAGCAACACTGTAATACCGGATAGTCCCCCTGTGAACATTTGAAAGTCAAAAAGTTAGTCCTTTCTGGTTTGGAAAAGCTTTGAAATTCAATCAATCCTAATACTTCCCGCTAATTATAATGGGTAAATCTTACTCTGTACCTGCCACTGTTAGACTTTTACGGACATCATCTGTTTTGTTTCTTTTTGTAGAAAAAAGGGAAGAACAAAAGTGTGGGACTCCTGACATGTCCTGAGACTGTGAGCAGTATCCGCTCTGCAGTGCAGTGATGGACCTGGCTTTGGGAGGGATGAACACAACAATTGGTGCTGATCTTTGGCCTCTGTTCATTAAATGGTTTCCAGCTTACTTACCAAACTGTTAGATTTTCTCTAGGATAGACTGGGTGATCTTCAGCAGTTTGCTGAAAGTTAGATAACGTTAACTAAAAGTACAGCAAAAAAAGTATTTGCAAAACTAATGTGTTTGTAGAGTTGTTTCAGTTTCCTCCGTGAAAGAACTCTGTAGTTTTCTAAATTTGAAATAGTTTTAAGCTGAGGTATTCCTACTTTTGATTTTGTTATTTTTTTTAAACAGCAAAGGCATGGTGAAAATGCTGTTTTAAACTCAAAGAAATGTTTACAGCCATTGAAAGGATGAGGCCTTTCTGAACAAAGAGACTTGTCTTGTGTGTTTCAAAATATAGTATAACCAGGGCTGTGGGATGAGGAGCCTCAGGAATTCAACAGTGTTAATTCCCCACTTCTACAGTGACTAGTATCAAGGTGTTCTACCATGACCCATGTTCCCAGGTGGAGTTTTTCCCCAACTCCTGGTGCTCACACGCCCCTGCAGGTCTCTGCCTGGCCCTGGGTGTGCCTGAGGGACAGTGCACCAGGAGCCCCTAATCCCAGTGAGCAGTTATCCCTCTGCTGTTCCCTGCATGAAATACAGGGCCAACACCTGACAGAGGAATTTACATCTAATTCCAAAGAATGTTACATATGCTCTCAGTTATGTACAAGTTATTTTTCTTTAGTGGTAACATGCTTAGAAATTGTCTGGATGGAGAAAATGTAGATTTTTTTTTAGAGGATTGTCTCTACTGTATATTCAGACATTTTGTTATAAAGGTTGTTACAAATTTGTATGCAGTAGTAATGTTATATTGACTTTGTTTCGTTTACCTCCTGTATAGTATCAGCCTTGCTGAAACATGCAAATGCACTAAGTCCAACAAATTTAAGTCTTTAAAAGGAATTCGAATTGCAAATTCACGGTAGTATTTTTCTTTGAACAAGTATTGGGGGAAAAAGCCATTCTGCTTTTTTTGCACTACCAGATTTACATATTTGCTGTTCCTTATGCTTTGTATGCCTTGTGATTGTTGTTGTCCAGCCTTCAGTTCAGATTTTTCCCTGAAATAATTTTTTCACCTTTATTAAGTTTTCCCTTTATTTTGCAAAGGCATAACTAATGCTATGCTAGCTGTAAAGCACCGCTGTTGCCAGCAGCAGACAATGTAAATGGGTTAATTTTCTTGTTTATAAATACCTTTCTGTGGGAAGATTTTTACTGGACGTACCAATTTTAGATCTGTAAATAGGGGGGGTTTTGTGTGTATTTGTGCTTTACTTAAATATATTTTGCTGGTTTGGGTGCTCATTTCCATTTCATGTTTTTGTTTATGCCTTGATCACTTCCCAAATTTCTGTGCTCCCTCTTGAATTACATGGGGTTTTTCTGTACAGCTTGTTTTAGAGGTTTTGTGGGTTTTTTTACCTAGAAATTGCAAGCGAGTTTACTGAAACTACCTAAGGATTATTTGTAGTTTAACAATTTAATAGAAATGAGAAATTCTAGTTTACATTATTAATACCTTTCATCTTGTCATTTTTTGTCACTTAGTCAACAAACTAGTAAAAACATAGTTTATACTTTGAGACATTATTTTATAGAGACTTAATTGAAGACTTCATTTACATGAGTATTTGTATTTAGTCAAACTTGTCATCTCCAGTAAGGTCAAGTTAATGGAGGGTTCCTGTCTGAGTGAGATCAAGCCTTGGAGATGTAGCAGAAGGAAACTCACACTGCAGATCTGCACATCTGCTCCTCTCAAAAACTGCTGAGGAGGTTCCTGCACTCCCTCCTCATGAAACAGTCCCAGCATTACTCCTAACAAGCCAGGGCTTGTTAGGTGAAGACTTTGGTGGGAAATGGAGAAGAAACAGATTTTAGTGTGACAAGGTGTGTTGGGTATGTCAGTGGTAAGCCAGTGTCCAGAGCTGCAGTGAAGGGCACTGCACCATTGCAGTGCTTTTAACACATTAACAAGCTGAATACAATGAAGATATAGTGGCACTTTTTTTCTATGGGGCTTTTTTACACAGAAGCAATTTAGTTTTGATTCATCCTTCTAATTCATGATTCAATCCATTATTTCTGCAACTTACTAATCAGTGTTCCTTTTTCACTAAATTTCTGTAGATCCTTTTTGTTCAATCTCAAATTTAGAGGTAACCCTAGAGAGCAATGCAGCTCACCCTCAGTGCTGCCTGTGCACCTGTTCTAAGTCTGTTCGAATGGAGTCAGGCAACCCAAAGTATGTCTGCATCCATGGCACTGGGTTTGGGTTTTTTGGAGGGGTTTATGGTCAATTTTGGGTGACCTAGGAAAGAAAATTCAGTGTAAATAGCCATATGAATGTTCAAATAACATTTCTTCTTAGGTGCTGTTATATATATTATTGTTGGAAAACAAGTCTAGCAGAAAAATTCAAGCACATTGATTTGGAGAAAGAAGTGCATAAGGACTTTGATGCGTGTTCCCTGCTGCACCAGCACTGCACTTGGCTGGTCTCCATCAGCTCTTGAATATGTTGCCCACTACGACTGTGGAGTAAAACACAAATATGCTGTTACCACTGTATTATGCTGGAGACCAGAAAGCCTGATTTAATAAAGACCCTCGGTATTGCAGAGCTCACCTTGAGAGATTCACAGTGAGTACAGCTTCCTCACACAATCCAATGCATGCCTAATGCATTTGTGAAGGACTGGTCACCCTGAAAGGCAGCAGTCAGGCTTTTTGGGATGCTGAGTAGGAAGCTATTCCCAACAGGTGCCTGCAGCATCCAGCTCCTTACAGCCAGGGATACAGAAGTTTAAAATTTCACTCCTCATCAGCACTGAATTATTTTCTCTATATAGTAATTTTATAGCCACTTGTAAGTGTTGTGAAACATTTTTGGCTCTTACCTCAGATACCACTCTGCACAGAGCTAGGGAACTGCCTGTGCTGACTCATGCCTGTGCTGAAGCTGGTGGAGAAATGCAGCCAGCTCTGTTGATTACAGACAGTTCTATAGTTAATGGCTGCTAAAATAAATTGCTGTGAATCTGACTTTGCCATCCCACAGATGCAAAGCCAGGATACTGTAAGACAGTCTGTTTCAGGAGTATAAAAGAGATGACGGCTTCCTTTGCAAATCAAAGAGAACAGCCTGATTCAGAGATTGGTAATAGCCAGAAGAGAAGTAGAAACTTTCAGCAAAAAAAGTGTTTGCTTTATAAATTGTGTATAAAGTCCCTAGATACCATGGTACTAAGTACATTATAAATGCATAAGAGGTCCATTAAGGGAGATGGGAAGGGGGAAAAAAACCTGGCAAATTAGGTTTATATAGCTGAAAGCCCTGAAGATTTCTTATGCCTTGTGAAAGAGTATAAAGATTTTTATCCTTAGAGAGAGGTTACTTCTTTTCCCAGGAAGGAAAGGGCAGAAGAAAAGAAGAAAAAAAAAAAAAAAGAAGCCAAGAGGAAAAGTAATACTGTCAGATGAGTGAGATTTAGCACTGTGGCCAGGAGAATGGGATTCACAGGCCTAAAATCTAGAAGCTTCAGAACTGATCAGTTTTGTTTCTTACAGAGGTGGCCTGTGTGTACTATCATCCTACCTTCCAAATGAGGGCAACAGCATCCAGACTGCCTACTGAACACATCCCACACCAGCTCCCAAGCCCTGTCAGGGAAAGCTGTTGGCCTGGCCAGAAGTATGCTGTGGCTCATCCTAACAAACCAACAGGATAGACGGGCAAGTTTCCATTCTGAGCTCATGTCCTGGCACAATTTAATTTACTGTTATAAATATGGCTTCTAAAAAACAATTATTATTATAATTTTAATACAGTGACCGAAACCAGAGAATGCTGTACAGCTACAACTGGTTGAGATGGGGGGCTTTTATAGTTCAAAGTCAGTAGTGGATGTTATATAGCCTCAGGCATGTTCCAACAGCAGTGTTTGTCTGTGAAAGGTCTGCTGTGGCACTGAAGAAGGTTCACTGTCTTGTTCTGTTGCTGGTGAGGAGGATGGCTCAGAACCCTGGAGCCAGGTGCCTGCCTCTGTTTCATTTCTGTTGTCAGGTGAGTGTCACGTCCTGCTCAGACGAGGGGGACAAGTGACTCAGATTCGCAAATCCCCAATGGAGCAGACACCAAGTCTCCAAGTCCAAACATTTATTAACTACCCACAATATACTAATTGAACACATGACAATTGGCTAAGTATATAGCAAGTTGTGGCGAGCAATACAGTATGCCTTGCATTTCTTAATGGAAAAAGGAAAAGAGGAAGATAGAGGGAATCGGGAAATACAGATCACCAGTCTGGGTTCCTGCACTGATCCTGCCAGCCAGGGTTCCAGGAGGCAACTGTCTTTTTCACTAGCATCCGTCTTCTTAGCTTCACTGCACTCTCCAGGGCCCGCCCTTTCTTCCCCCCCTTAATTTATACCCACTTTCCTTGGGTCCATCCCCTAGGTCGACCCACAGACCTACGTATCCCATGTATGGGGAGGGGTAAGGTGTTCCATGGGATGATGTAATTAGCATGATCTTGTTAGCCCTTGTTAGCATATTGAGGGGTGTTAACTTTAATATGCATTTTGTGGATAATGAAGCGAAGGTCATTCACCGGACGCATGGCCCTTGAAATTTCACCAGGTGCCCCAGAGCAGAGCCGTCCTGTCTCCACAGGCCTCCCTTCTCCAGCTGCATCTTGTGTTATTCAGACAGCCTTATCAGCTTCGACCTCCACAGAATGCACTCTGTGACTCAGAGTTTTGTCTTGTGAGTGTTTGAGGTCTTTCTTCAATCAGCCTCAACTTTTGCTTTCCCAGGCTGTTTTTCTTAGTTTCTCACAGGCCTGGTTTCTCATCTCTCACAGTGAGTCTCCAGATGCTTCTCTGGATGAGGAAATATGGTACCTTCCTAGCTGAATTTGAAGCAGGTTTCTAATATCTAAAATCACTCAGTGAAATAAATTGTTTAAAGATCAAACATGTTCTGATAAGAGATTTGGTGCATGCAGACAGAATACAGTGGTGGCTACATGGACAAGGTACATGAACCACAGAAGGATGGAAAGTGCGGCTGAAAACGGAGAAGGAAGTCCTGTAAAGGAACCACATCCTGCTTGTCCTGCACCCACATGTACCACAGGACTGCTTGATTTAGGGCAGAAAGTCAAATATTTTGTAATTCCTGCTTTTTTGGCATAGGCGTATAAAGATAACTACCAGGAAGGATTCAGATGACTGACCTACAGCCTACCTCATCTACAAATACAGAAAGTGCTAACAGCCCAGCAGTCAGGAGGTTGCCCCTATCTGAAGCCAGAACAGACTGGTTCCACCCACAACAAGTGGAAGTAAACTTCTGGACCAGCCTGCTCTTGATTCACAAAAATGTGTACATTAACACCAGAAGTAACTGTTGGAGACTTGTAATAGATGTAATGAGTCTAGAGGCCTCTCCAGTTCTGGATAAGCAATTTGTCCTGCTGAGGATGCTGGACTTAGGCTTAGCAAGTGTGGGGCTCCTGGGAATCTACTCCAATGCTCCTAATGCATACTATAAAATTATTATTTAGAAAGGGGGGTGAGGGAGGGTGGGGGTGGGGTGGGAATTTATAAGGGGGGAAAAAACTCAAAACCCAATCACCTGAAAAGGTAGTATTTTCTGGAATTCATTGCTGTGCATCAGCTGCCCTGTGGCTCTTCTGAGGAAACAACAAAAGGAATTGATGGCAGCTGGGAAATTGCTACTCACAATAGCACAGCGAACTATTGCCACTGAAAATTTAGCAATTCTCACTTGCATATATCCTGGAGAGGTTTGTTGGTCATTGCATGATGCTAGATATCAAATTGCAGCTGCAGTACTGTTACCATAGTTCATTTTCTAATTCTTTCCCCAGCTCTTCACTAAAAAAACTGTAATAGAGAGTTAAGCTATGAGTCCTGCCAGAGGGTGTTGCAGATGCTTATATAGATTAAAGAGCTCTAGGACAGACTCTTAGGAGACAGCTGCACCACAGGCTCTGAGACACAAAGCTAGTTACCCAACTTCAGGACTCCTCTCAGCCGCAAACTTTTTGACCCATTCTTGCAGCTCATCCCATTTTTGGCCACTCTAAGAAACGTGGTTCCAGACTGGATGGAGATCCAGACCCATTGTGGCTGCTCTCATTTTACCTTCTCCTCCCCCAAAAAAACCCTCAAGCCTCCTGTCTACTCAGTAAGCAAAGCATGGAACAGCCCCCAAGACTAACACACTGCCAAATGGTGTCTACTGTGTGTCGCCTCATGGCCGACAGAGCGTG